ATATAAAACTAGCACATAAAATGAAAATAAAGAACTCATCAAGTCAAATTACTTGATCGTACCGTCATTACTGAATGAAAGTCCGAAAAATATGACATGGAATGAGCGGTGGGAGGCGAAGCTATTATTTTTAAGAAGGGCACAGAACTGCACGCTGGAACGGAAGTGAAATGAACAACCTCAATCAAGTTCAGTCTTCCTGACGCTATTAAACGTTTCACCCGACTTTGAACAGAAAGGTGTTTTTTATTTTCTTTCTCATTCTTGCATGTATTCTGCAGTTCGTCCAGTATTTTCTCGTAACTTTTAATTTTCTAGCAAACTGGAACTGTTAAGAATTCCCCCCCCGCTCCCCATTTGAGTAAATTATCATTCCTTCTGATTGACGATGATTTTCGAACGGTGACAAAGTGAAATTTGAAATGACATGTTATTTTGGTATTTTAAGCTCCCTCTTTTTTTCCCGATAGCCAAAAATGTTTTGATTGAACGAAAAGCTCTAGTGTCGGTGTTTTTCTGGACTCTGCTTGTAGACTGACCTCACCACATCACGGACATAAAGTCTGATTCGAGAGGGTCAAAAAGTAACTGATGGGTCTTTGAAAAGCGAAATGCAGTCACGTTGGGGCGAGCAGGCTATATAGATGATGAACTCATTAGTAATAACTCCATTACCGCATCCCAACAGTCGAGCCAGCCGGGAGCGAGCGAACACAATTTGGGCGCCACTGGCCACACCAGTATGTTTGGCGGGAAATTGGCTGATTAGTCAAATCTCCTTAACTCCATGACCATGCACCTTTCCAAATATTGCCCTTCTATCATTATATAGCTACGGCCTCCCGTAAGCATTTGCAACTATTTTGATTGTGGAAGACTGTTATAACAGTTTCCATTGCTTTAATGTCTCGTAAACTGCATGTGTTACATGTTCTGATCTCTCCCTCTCTCTCCCTCCCCCCCTCCCCAACCAAATCCATAACAAAAAATTTTCAGACCAACACTGAAGATACGTACAAAAATATGACCATCTCCAGGCAAGGTTCATCACTGTAACTTACTACATAAAAGCATTTTCGTTGTTTGCCATCGACTAATTCTGTATACTGAGGTCCCATAAGCAACGCCACGTTTAGAAAGAGCGCGCCCTTTTCAATCTAAAACCCAAGTAGCAATTTCCCACACGGACATAAACCGTAAAAAAAGGACTGCGTCAAATAGTTTGTAAAATCACAAACGCCTCATGAGACCTTTACTTCAGTCTACATACATACATACATACATACATACATACATACATAAACTTTATATATTCTCGGATTTTAGTGTAGCTTACATAGCTAGTATCTCCGATCCTAACTAATTTTAAAAGTTACAACATATATAATATAATATTAATTAATGTAGTATTAACTAAAACCGTGCACTAACAATTTGCGCTTAAATTCACTATAATCTACAGTCTTTCTAAAGTGATCAGGTAGAGAATTCTAGTACTTAACGGATGAATAGCTAAAGGAATTTAGACCATATGTGGTTGTAGACGGCTTAGGAAGTGATAAAATATTAGTACCCCGTAGGGAGTAAGCAGTAAATCTTAACTTGATCAGTTGTTTTAAATAGCACGGATATTTACCAAAATGGAGACATTTGAATATACAAATCATATTTTGTATCCTCCTGTTGGCTAAACCACACACACCAGCCTTGTCTAGAAGAGCATCATAGTTCGAGTCCCAGTCCTTTAAAACAAATCTTAAAATACGTCTATTTAAGGTGTCCAGTTTGACAGAATCTTCTGAATTACAAAAGTGCCATATCATTGAACAGTAGTGAAAATGGTGTAAGATAAACGCTTTATAAAGGCGAAGCATAATTTCAGATGAGATAAGTTTGCCAAATCTTTTGAAGACACTGAGCTGATTATTTATTCTTTTGCATACAGAGGATATGTGATCCTTGAAATTAAGTTCATTGTCTAGAGATATTCCAAAAAGATCCAGGCATCTTGTGGTTAAAAAGGAGAAAGGGTAATCGGTTTTGCCAAGAACCATCCCTTGATGTTTAGCAGGGTTTGCTTTCATCCCATTGTCTTCGAACCATTTATTTGCTATTTGTACATCATGATTGATCAGCCGTTCCAAGGCTACTGGGTCTACATCAGATGAGTGCAGTTGGCAGTCATCGGCATAAGTGTTTAATTTTACAGACTTAATGTGAAAGATGAGGTCGTTGAGGAACATGTTGAAAAACATGGGCCCCAGGACGCTGCCTTGAGGCACGCCCCGCTTCACACTCATCCAATCCGAATAAGTATCACCAATTTTCACTCGCTGCCTTCTATCCGTCAAGTAGTCACCGATAAGGGCGCAGCTGGATTCGTGCAAGCCATACGCTTTCAGTTTTGCTAATAGCAAAGCATGAGGTATGGTGTCGACGGTACGGTCACTGGTCGATAATTGCTTTTGTTTAGTTCATCGTCCTTTTTAAATAAAGGAGTAACTTGACCTAATTTCAAGCGCGACAGATACTGTCCTGTCCTAATCGAGTGATTCATTATTGCAGCTATAGGACCAGCAATCGCGTTGGCAGACTCTTTTACCAGTCGCGGTGGTATTCCGTCATAACCACAGGATTTACGGGAGTTGATTTTGAGTAACAAAGCTTCCACTTGGGTTTTATTAGTATATTGAAAAGCAAAATTGTTTCTCGCAGCGATCTGCTCATTGTTATTAAAAATCGCCTGAATGCTAGCATGTGGATCAAACCCTATTCCATAAATCTGTTCAGTAATCTCTGGCACGCCGTCCGCGATGTTCACGAAATAACTATTAAAAAGCTCCGGTATTTGTTTCTTGTCTGTTATTACGACATCGTGTTCTTTTAGTATTATGTCATTAGCTTGCGTACTTTTCCTTGAATGCAAAAATGGGCGGTATGTGTCCCAAAACTCCCTTGGGTTTTCCGACTCACTTTTCTTGTCAAAGAAAGTTTTAATAGCTTTACGTCTTAGAGAAGTGCAAATGTTCCTTTGTCTCTTGTACAATTCATAATTAGTATCAGTTCTTTCACGAATGAAGCACTTCCACAAACGGTTCTTCTGACGAATAGCTCTGCGCCACTGTTCATTCATAAAGGGAACTTGATTTCCCTTTATGCGGACCTGTTTCAAAGGTGCGTGCTTACTAAGAATGTCCTCATATAAACAATCAAACACGTAGAGCCTATCGTCAACGTCGTCAAATATTTCAGCTACTTGGAAAGGAACATTATGCAAATCATGTAGAAAATGCTGTTTATCAAAATTCTTAAGGCTTCTAAATCGTATTTCCCGAGATCGTATTCTCGGTTCCGATGTCTGAGAATGGCAAACACAAGAGAGTGATCACTTATGTTAACATGGACTACGCCCGATGACTGTATTTTCTTCACGTTGTCGGTGAACAAACAAATTTTTTAAGGATGAATGACGTCAGAATGCGCCATTACAAGCGTACTAGGTTATGAATAGAAAATTTAACCAACGCACATGAAAGCATCTAAGACGCGGACGAGGGGGAAATCTTTCATTTTTTCCTTTTTTTACAAAGAAAAGGGAAGTTACCGTAAATGATCGATTAAGCGCCGCTTCTCAAATAAACGCCGCTCTCGAATAAGCGCCGCAGCGCTAACAAATAAATGCCCTACCTTTGTTACGGCGCTTGATATAAAAAGATATCAAAACCATATCGTTTGACAAACAAGATCCACACCCACTCGTGAGTTCTAAAGTTTTAATGTACGGAAACTTTCGAAACCAGGTTCATACAACAGTTCGAGATGTGCATATTTGTTCTTTTTTCTTGCCCAACGCTGAGTTCTCTCTGCATTCCCCTTTCTGTTGTCCCTGTAGTTGAAATAAGCGTCGCTCCCTAATAAGCGCCGCACCTTTAACATGGAAAATGAAATTAGCGCCGCGGCGTTTAGTCGATCATTTACAGTAATTTCCGATATCCGACGGGCATATCGGAAAGACTGAAAACACTCAAACCGGATGAGAGTATAACAAATTCAAGAAGAAACAAGTTTGTGTTTTTTCACAACTCGATAAAATAACTAAAAATGTGTACTCCTATTATACAAGATTTTTCTTTTCAATTTCAAATTTTTACAATGGAGCATTAGCCCCCGTACTCACTAGACACTGCTTCACAATCTTCGTGTTAAAATCAGTGAAACACGCCATTTGCATGGGGCACATTTGAAAGAACATTTGAAAACAATTTGGATTCCTACTCTTAATACCTTTATTACAAATTAAAGTTGGGTAGTTTTAGTTTGAACAGCCGAACGACATTGTTTACAGGGAGTGGGGAAGGCAAAGCCCCATTTTCCCCTTTTAAGGTAGAAAGTGTCAGCAAAACGTGAGAGCCGTCCTTGAGGGCAAAGTGTCTAACCTAATTTTCTCACCGATTGCAATTGCCATTTCATCCACGCGTAACCTCACCTAGTTAACAGAATTAGCCAACCTAATGGGGAAACGTTACGGGAGAACTGAGTAAGTAGTGAGGGTAAGTTTTGAAAATTGTGCGCACACCTGGAAAATCCTGGCTACGCTCCTGATAGAGACTATTGCTGGAGAGAAATTGAAACATGCTCACTAATATAGTGACGACCAGAAAGGACAAACCATAGGATAGTTCCAGAAAATCACCCATTAAAATAGATCATGGAGTTGTCGCGGCGGACGATGAACTTGAAGGCTTCTGATCAAGTGCAATTTTGCAAGGGAGCCCAGGCAAGATTATGTACGACGGGCACAGCTTGTTTGATCTCGAAAATTCAGAGAAGCTCAAGGCAAATCGCTAGACAGATGCTAGAGCTGAAATAAAAATCTTTTGGGCTTTTGAACTCTGTCCCTAAGGGTAAAGGAGAATGTATCCCTTTATTAATGCATTGAACAAATTGATTATGAATTATTACTCTTATGTTGGACGTTTTACTAACAAGAATATTACCACTACTTGTCCTTAGAGGCGTTTTTGAGTTGACGAGCAGAGAAAATTAGGTTTTGACGGTTTGAAATTGAGGATGCCAGAGTGAAGACGCCTTTTGTATGATGACGTCATCGTCCTACGGTGAAAAGCGTTCGTTTTTTACCACTGATATTACGTCAATCGGTACACTTACGTTGTCGAAAGGTCCGTCAGCATGGTGAATGATTTTACATTAAACTGCAGACACATCTTCAATCACTCCGTGAAAGAACACCCTTATTGTTCGCGAAATCGGATAAATACTCTGGTCGCTAACTGGATTTTCTTTACTGTTTCCTTTACTTAGAATTAGGACTCTCTTGAGTTATCCATGCGTGGACTAGCGATTTTAAGCTTTTTCAAGAAAATGAAAATCTAGAATTGTCCCTAGGGTGGGGCATTTGCGCACGGTTTTGAAGGCCCTCGGTGAGGTGACTGGAGTTTTTGCATCTCCTGTGCTCATCCCTCATTCTTCTCAACCCCATCCAAACCAATTTTCCTGTTTATCGCAAAATACTTTATGGAAAGGCCAAGAATCTCCTCAAAACGAGCTTCGTGATTGGAACAAAATACTTGAAAATTTTTCACGGAACCGTTGTTAATGGTGTACAAGATAGACTGAATCTATTTATTACTTTGCCAACGCCCAATTGGTAAAACCGGAAGTAAGGATGTTTATTTCAAGGGCTTATGTCTCATGAGTTTTGAGCGAATCCTCAAACGCTGTAAATACATGTAGCTGGAACTATCATCGTATCCTCGCTCATTAATAATGATGACTTATATTAACTTCCATTATTTATTGCCTGGCTAAGATTTTCACGGATTCTTTAGTTCAGTTGTTTGAAACCAGGCTGTTTCACGCGAGTTGTAACGCCATGCAAGGAACGTGACGACCCGCGATATGCGTGGGAAAATAGTACTTTTTTTTCTATCAAGATGGAAACTGGCATCTTTGTCGTCGAGTGAGGTAATACATTTCAATTTTCATTATTATGGTTAATTTTAAAAGCTCTGGTTTCGATAAAGGAACTGGAGGAAAATCAGGAAAATTCCAGTTCGACTGTGATGGTTGCATTTTGTTTACGCGTCGTAGCATAAATATAACAAATTCATTTTCCTTTTCCTTACACAATCTGCCTTTCTATACTGTTTTTCGCAGCAGAGCTATCGCTAATATTACAGGGTTAATTTTATTACACAAATCACTCAGATTAAGTGACAGAAACTCTATTATCGATTGTAATTTTTGCAACACGTGGCGAGTATTCGGTGCAAAGCTTATAGGCGGTTTTCACGTTACGTCATCACCGCCATGCTGGTGGACGGTAAACAAAAGATCGCTCATTAGCTCGCTTTGTTTATCCACCAGCATTTGTTGATTTCACCATTGTTATTTGTGTCCCCCGAGATTGCTTGAAAACCACCTATTGGCAAAGTCGCTAGAACACTCTTCCATTCATTACTTTTGTTTCTGCTCCGTTAAATTTGCCCAAATTTTTTATTAACGAACTCGATTTAACTACAAACAATGAGTATTCAGGCAGAGTGGCAAGTTTCAATGCGATGTGGCAAGAGAGATATACGCCTTTGAATTTCTGTTAATTTAGTGGGTGTAAAAAATTCAAAAAGTATACCATCCAAAAATTTAATCGATCGTTGCGAAAACGTTATCAATTTCGAAGTAGTTTCTAAAAATACAATGAAGAGGGATAGTTCTCTCAATGTGTTTCGTTAAAGGAAGATTAGCTTTGAAGACAGGATTGTAGTCGAAGGTTCAAAAACAGCTTGTATTAACCAATATGGCGCAGGTCCGAGGTAACCAAAAACCGGCCATGTCGATAATTTCCGAAATGGAAGGAGTTAGAACCTAAAGTTAGCTATTCCTTATTAAAGACCCCAAATCAAGTCTACATGCCAATTTTTAGCAATTCGGTGAGATAGTGTGGCAGCGACTTTTCAATATAGTTGGAATCTTAAAGATTACTGCTCTTAACAACATACTAAAAGTCCGTCAAAATCGGTTCGGTGAAACATAAAGAAAAATTGACAATAAAGATTTTCGACTTTCACCACAGGAGACCCAATTTCAGGAAGATCCCAAATTCAGACAAAACATCTGATAATTACTTTTTTTTTCTTTGAAGAATTTTCGATACAACATCGCTAATGTATTTCGGGTAGTTTTGATTTAAAAATCGCTGACTTAATGTGCGAGAAACACCAGGGTAGGTGTTTCGTCTTGACGGCTCTGCACAGGTTACCCAGCCTCTCCCCTGTCTTCACATTCTGTTTTCCAAGCTTTAATTTTTTTCTATGACGGTATTTAAAAGGAAAATTATTAGTCATTCTGTTTTAACACGGTTAAAAACAATAATTGATTGCTTTTTTTCCCCGAAATATCAGAAATGCAGTAAGTATGTTATCAAAAGTAGGTTGAGTTTGATCGTCCGGGTGAACGTAGTCCTGAAGAGGACTGTTGTTGTTGACAGTGACTGTCGTTTCGACAACCTGTGCGGTAGTCATCTTCACAGTCAAAGTGAGTTGCATCACGTCAGTTGATGGTATTATACTCTGGTTATTGATCTGATTGGTCAATTACGTCGCGATGTTATTGGTCGTCTGTCAGTTAAGCCGTGATGTCATTGGCTATGAAGACTAGTAATCAGTAATTGGTGCGTTTCGATCCGTCTATTGTCACAGTTAAACAGTCGTCTATTGTTAGTCAAATTTTCAGTTATCTACTCGTTCTCTCGTAGTTAGTTTTGCGTGATCTCGCCAATAAGTCGTTTGTACGGCGCTGGTAACTGTTGGCTACGTTTCAGTGGCGTTTGCTCTAAGTTAGTAAACCAGCTTTCTAAAGTAAGGCGTTGATAGTAGTCTGTAGAATACGTTTACATGTCGAGAACTGACAATTTGACTAACAATAGACGACTGTTTAACTGTGACCATAGACGGATCGAAACGCACCAACTACTGACTACGAGTCTTCATAGCCAATGACATCACGGCTTAACTGACAGACGACCAATAACATCGCGACGTAATTGACCAATCAGATCAATAACCAGAGTATAATACCATCAACTGACGTGATACAACTCACTTTGACTCTGAAGATGACTACCACACAGGTTGTCGAAACGTCAGTCACTGTCAACAACAACAGTCCTATTCAGGACCACGTTCACCCAGACGATCAAACTCAACGTACTTTTGAAATGACTCCTAGGTTCAAACCTTTCACAGTATGTTATCAGTTTTACAGGCTGGTATTTCTTTATACCTGCAGAATGGATTCAAATTAAGAGCCATAATGAGCCATTATGGCTCTTGTTCAAATTTAGTAGCTGACTGATGGTGAACAGTTTGATTTGATATTTTGCTCACCTTCGGTCAGCTAAAAAATTTGCATTTGCATGGACTTTTTTCGTACCAGTTTTTTTGCAGAGTTTAAGACCAAAATACAGGATGTTACCTTCATGTAGATTCTTTTTGCTTGACATACTTAAACTTAAAATTGTAAATTGTAAATAATGTTTTCTTTTCTTTGCTTTTATGTGCTTATTATTAATATTATTATTTTATTATTATTACTTGCAATGCATTTAATGTATATATATATACAAAAAAAAATCGAAACAAAGAGTTCCTATATATATATATATTTCTATGTTATTTTATAAATCGAAACACAGACTTCCTATATATATATTTCTATATTATTTTCATGTAGTGTCAGCTTGAACATACTAGCTTGTTAGCGACTCTAAAATTCGAGTATAAATAAAGTTTATGTTATGTTATGTTATGTTATATTCCCTCCTTGCATTTCTTTTGTGAGAACAACCCTGAACCTTGACCAGTTGTTTTTTTTCGTCCATTGGTAAATGAAGACCTCTTTTTCCATAACGATCATGGGATCCTATACGTCTGAAAATAATTGCAGCGGTCAATGAAGGTGCGAAAGTACTTGACATATGTACGACATTAATGGGCTTACTTGACTTAGCTTCTGATGGCTCACCTCTTTTTGCGGAGCCTATGTTTCTCTTCGGATGAGCGTTGTGTAACACTTCAACTTACTACATGTTAACCTTTTGACTGAGTTTCGTAAATTATGTTCTGCGTGGGGAATTTCCGTTACTCCATAGACTTTTACAATATATTTTTACATACCCCTTGTTTTGGCTACCCGGAGTTAATCTTTCTCTTCAAAACCTGCTTTCTATTATACTATTTCGTTTTCTTGAAACAAACGTTTGTTGGAACCAAAGTTCTTATGCGATGAATGTTCCGTTAACCATTATAATTTTTTTGCGAAGGTAACAACACTTTTCCTTAAATGAAAACCAATTTCCCTCGCATCAAATTCATAGGCATTAGAGCTTAACCTGCTCAAAAACGCTGTATTGTGGTGCATCGTAAAGAATTAGTATAAAACTATCCTCCCCTCCTCTCCAATTCTATTTTAACAAGAGGAAAACGAAAAGCTTCAAAAAAGTGAAACTTGTATATTTGAGGATGTCAGTACGTTAACGAAAATTAATGTATAGGTAGCCGTAAAAGCCAAAGCATTACCCGCACCAAATCAACTGTATTTTAAAACTGTCTGTGAAGTAGTTTAAAACTATTTAAACGATTTAAAAACTATTTTTACCACAATTTGAGGTATTTTTAAAATATTTTGCGACTAAAACCAAAATGGCGTTAGACGTTTGAACTGTATTTGACATCTATTTGAATAGTATTTATAACATTTTGCCAGGTTTTCCTTGTATTTGAGACATATTTGCTATCAAAGCTACATTTTAAATACAGTATTCAAACTATATTTTCAGAAAGAGAGTACTGGCGGGTTGCTAAAATGTTTTCAAATACCGTATTTAAACTGCATTTTGGAAACTAAAAAATATACTTTAAAGGAAAAAAATTCAACCAAATATATTTTCAAACAGATTTTAAGAGCGAATGCACAGAAAAATCGAGCAAAATCGGCAAATCGTGGCCACAGCTCAAGACCTAACTTACTCTCATTTTGAATCTGTAATAAGGTTTTCATGAGTTTATAACACTGCTGAGGTTTAAATTTCAAAATGCGGCCGAGTTTGGGAATTATTTGAGATTTTCGATTTCAACGGTCTGCGGGCCTAAAATTAGCCGCCGAACACGGCAATATAGCCTAGCGACAGAAATGAGCTGAATTTCATAAACGAGCGAATATATTGCCAATCTTCCACTTAAATCTCAAAAAGCAGATATCTAACAATTTCTGAATGGCTTATTTTTTAGATTTAGAGTATAAAATATCGACGAACCAGCAGAATTTTGAAACGTAATTTGCATAATGCTTATAAATACAACAATTTACCGCTAAAACCAAAATCGAATTTTCTATATGGGGGAATTCTCCAAATCACCCCAAATCCCGCTTACTAACTAATGAGATATAGTACTTCAACATTATCTGAAAGTTAGTCTGGTGTTCTTGCGAACGCTTGTAAAATAGATTGATTATTTTGAAGTTATTTTGCCCCAAACAACTGCTAATTGACCCCAGGGTCAATTGACACGTGCACGTCACCTTAGTTTTATGTATCGATTTGAGCTCGTTAAAAGGGAGAAACTAACAAGATTCTTTTAATATGTACCTGTTTTAATGAAATACACGCAATCCTCAAAGGAGAGGCCGTTCAATGGGTATAATTTCTGTTCTTGAGATCTTGAAGATTGCAGCATGGCGTCTGCGAGTGGACCTGAGTCTAGGTCTGTTTTCCCGTGACTGCGAAATCAGAATAACATCAAGAAATAATTCTCCCTCGTGTCTTCGTAAGTGAATCAGCTTTGTAATGCCTTACCTGAGATAAAAAGTGGGCCGAATAGCAAAACATTTCCAGCGCAATTTGGATCCTTTGTCGAACGCAGTGTATTGCCGAGCGAAAGGTCAGTAAACAAACGTGGGAAAGTACGTTGCCTTTGATTGCGTGATCAGCCAGTAAACGATAGTCTCCAGCGAAAAATAGGATTCGCAAAAATCTTGCTGATGTATATTTAACAGTTTGTTACTATAAATTTACACCTGGTTTGTCTAAAACTTTAAACAATGCATATCTGTACAAGAGTATAAGAATGTTTCGAAAGATCCACCCCTAAATAACTGTGGGCTAGTCCTTTTTCCCCATCACCGATGTGTACTTCCTTCCCACTGTCTTTTGCATGGGGCTTGTATGCCTTTTTAACTGTTATCGACACTTAAAACTGGCCGTTTAAGGCCTGGTTTAAGAACTTGACTGACTTAAAAAACCGTCGCGAACATGCGCTATTATTGTTGGACTTTGGAAGCTTAAAAGCCCAAAATGATGGTGCAATCTCGAGAAATTTGCCCGGGTCTAATAAAAAGACAGGGAACGGGTACTAAGAAAGGGACGGTCTCATTTAGCAACCCGTGGACAATCTGGGCATGCTTGCCTTCTGTCGAAGGGGCAACCGTTAAGGCCAGGTGCCCCGCCCCCACCCGAGAGGATTGCATGGCATCCACCATTTCAGTCGCTTTTTCCACATCATGACCTTCAATTATCATGAATTATAATGCGGGCCTTGATCGTTGCCACCTTACCAGAAGTCTAATCTTCGCACTGTTAGACCATGAGAATCTCTATTATTATTCCATAAATACACCATTGAATTTTCCTTGCTCAGCTTCCGGGAAACCGATACCCCGAAGCAAAAATAGCTTTACAACGACTCTATCCAGGCCAGAACTCCTGATATCAACAAATATACTCCCCCCCTACTACTAAAGAGAGCAAACGTTCCCCGAAATATTCACTTGACCCACCCCATCCCTTCGTTAAGAAAAACTACGCGCTCAGTTCACTGGACAAAACGCGCTCGTGAATATACCAAGCTATAGCCGAATATCCTACAAGCAATCTCAGTTTCAGCAGGCGTGGCCACGTTTCCAGTTGCTGTAGGATTAATTCGACTCCTGCAACAGACACTGTAAATTAAATAGCAGCCACAACGCCCTTCTTTGAGACCGTCAGGACGAGAAAGTTTATAAAAGACTTAACAGGTGCGCGCGGCGGTTTTCTTTTCTTCCTTCCCTCCCATTGTAGCACTCAAATTCTGACCCTGGTATTTATTCTAGTAGTAATCAATCGTTCCTGAGCCGATAGGCACAAGGACACCGGTTTCTTGCAAAATATGCCGTGACATCCGTTTGCTCATCCCCTTTTCTGCCTTCGGCCGCTGATTAGGTTTGGTTCTGTGCTTTGAAATAACTTTAGGAACGAAACATGATACGTGAGGGGCGTGTCTGGCTAAGGGCAAGTGACTCTCGGTGGTGAAGACATATATTGAGCTTGTCAGTATTTCGTAACCTGTAGCACGTCGCGAAAATAGAACAAGCCAAAGAAAAATAAGACGCCTTTCTTTCCCCAGCCCCCGCAGGTTTTTCGCATTACTTTTTACTGCACAACTGATTCTACCTTTTCGAGCCGGAGCGAACATGGACGCCCTTAGGGTTAAGTTTCCACTTCATTTTCGGCACCTGACTAAACGCAAGCGCTGACTTGTGCGCCTATGCTTCGTTTGCACTGAAGTAGCAGGATATGACCACGACAGACTTGCTGCTATCCTTGGTTTGAAACCGAAATGGGCAAGAACAATTTCTTGAAAAGAGCAAACTATTTCCCCCTTAGCAGACATGGAGAAGAACTACTAGGACTTAAGCAATGCCATTGCTTAAGTCCTACTAGACTTGAAAAGAGAAAGCATGATGCTTTCTCTTTTTAATGATTTACGGCTAAACAGTACAATTTCATGTAGCTTTTACGCAAAATTAAATACTTAGTTGTTTGCAGATTTGCATTTAACAACAAATTACAGAAATTTAACTAAGTTTACATCTCACAGATAAGAATTGAACGAAAAAAACTTTTGGGGTAAAAAAGTAAAAAAATAATGTTTGATGGAAAATCACTTAATGGACATACAATAGCAGAGATATCATGCCTGTAATTTTCTGTTCAATGCACCTTATGACAAGTCTGACTAATCCACTGGTAACCCATGCCTTAAAACCGCCTTGAACCTTAAAATTTAATCCATTTGCCTTTCATGCGTAGTGCAAATATATCTTCTGAACACTCCGGGGTTAGGGGTAAAATCAGAAGAACAGAGCATTCAGTTACTGTACCATTTTTAAAAGTGGGACAGTATGTTTGCTAATCATCTTAGTTAACCGCTTTTAAAATAGGACAAAAGGACACCTGGTCATACAGGAAAATGAATTTACTGTATCCCGAAAGCTTTGGTTTCACATGCACTTATTTTTCGCTGGAGACAATCTATAATTGCCTGGTCACGCAATCGGAGGTGAGTAACTAATTTTAATTAGTTACTCACCTGACTTTTAGAAAAGTCATTAATACCATCGCCGCTTAGCAAATACACTACGTGCTGCAAAGGATCCAAATTGCGCTAGAATGTTTTCCTATTCTGCCCACTTTTTATCTCAGGTAAGGCACTGCAAAGCTGATTCATTTACGAAGGTTCGAGAGAGAATTATTTCATGATGTTATTCTGATTTCGCAGTCACGGGAAAACAGACCTAGACTCAGGTCCACTCGCAGACGCCATGGTACAATCTACAAGATCTCAAAAACAGAAATTACCCATTGAACGACCTCTCCTTTTGAAGATTGCGTGTATTTCATTAAAACAGGTACATAAAAGAGTCTTGTTAGTTTCTCCCTGGTTTCTCCCTTTTAACGAGCTCAAATCGATGCATAAAACTAAGGTGACGTGCACGTGTCAATTGACCCTGGGGTCAATTAGCAGTTGTTTGAGGCAAAATAACTTCAAAATAATCAATCTATTTCACAAGCGTTCGCAAGAACACCAGACTAACTTTCAGATAATGTTGAAGTACTATATCTCATTAGGTAGTAAGCGGGATTTGGGGTGATTTGGAGAATTCCCCCATATAGAAAATTCGATTTTGGTTTTAGCGGAATTACGTTTCAAAATTCTGCTGGTTCGTCGATATTTTTTACTCTAAATCTAAAAAAGAAGCCATTCAGAAATTGTTAGATATCTGCTTTTTGAGATTTAAGTGGAAGATTGGCAATATATTCGCTCGTTTATGAAATTCAGCTCATTTCTGTCGCTAGGCTATATTGCCTTGTTCGGCGGCTAATTTTAGGCCCGCAGACCGTTGAAATCGAAAATCTCAAATAATTCCCAAACTCGGCCGCATTTTGAAAATTAAACCTCAGCAGTGTTATAAATTCATTAAAACCTTATTACAGACTTAAAATGAGGGTAGGTTAGGTTTTGAGCTGTGGCCACGGTTTGCTCGATTTTTCTGTGCATTTGCTCTTAAATACTGTTTTCGGGGTAATTTAAAAATCAATACCCGCAGTCACGGACTTGACAGACAAAATGCAATAGACATGCAGATACAGCCGGCCAAAAGAAATAAGAACGCGTCGTCTAGGCACTGCCCATTCTACAAAGACACTATTCTTAGAGTTGAGCCATCTTGACAGAAGTGTTAAAGTGTTTTAATTAATTAAATTTAATTACAAAGTTTTAATTATTTCATTGTCAATCCAAAAGAAAATTGACGAGAATTCTCAGTTCTGGACACATCCAATTTCTAATCATGCGCGTACTTAATAAGTAACCAGTAAGTATAAACGCCACAAAATTATTTAGCCTTATTAAGTCCGCTAGAAAACAAGGCACAGAGCTGTCATGACAGTTAGGAGCTAATGTATCTCCAAACAAAAACGAACAATCAGCCTTAAACTTCATCAGTCAAATACAGTAAAGTATCGAAATATGCATGCATTTCGAGTTCATCGACCGGTTTGATAAGGCGCGTTGTGTCACAGTGTGTGACAATGTGAAAGATTAATCGATCCCCAATTGTTATTTATCGAATCTCTCTGTGTATATCTCTACACAGCCAGATTTTAAATCAATCATTGATCAGTTACTAAGTTTTGAAACTTCTAAAATTCGCATCAACCATATAAACGTAACATTAACATACAGTGTTTTACAATCTAAATAATCTAATCGATTTAGACAGAACCGCAGTTAACCGCGCTCGTAGAACCGGATACGGTGAATAAAAGATAAAATAAGCCCTAAACAAAATGATATAAATAAACGCTTCCTCTCGTGTTGCATGAAGAACCAAACGCTCAAGAAATTCCTCCACATCGTTATCTTACGTTTATAAATCATACTGGATGAATAAAATTTTATCAGCCCCAGTAGCTTCTGAGCACCACTTCCCGCGCAGTAGAGTCACGTGGTAAAACCACGTGCTAAGGAACAAAGCATCTTTGTACTTTAAAATTATGGCGGACGGCTGTTCATGGTTGCAACTAGCGAAGAGTTGCTCTTTATTGCGCAAAAAGAGTATTTATCAACTCTGTGGACTGTCCAGACGCGCAGATTTTGTTTTAATCACGAATCAAAATGTCTCCGAATCGTCAGGCTTAACTGCAGAATACCCTGCCACTTATTTGCATGTCATTGAATAAGAATAGCATCTATTGTGTTATGCTTCGTTCTTCAAAGAACGCCGACCAACGAAAACAATGGTGGTACAGAGTGGCAGGGTATTCAGCAGTTGCTCCGCGAATAAAGTGTGAGTACGATTGTTCCTTATTTTAGAATAATCTGTTATTGGAACGTATAGGCATACGCGTTATGAAAAGGACAGTTGGATATATAGCCTTTCGAAAAGCGCTGTCAATTAATTTATTACTAAGAGCCGTTTTGGTTTTTGTTTATATGTGTTCGCTTACCGGTCGTTTTGATACGAAGTAATTTCGATACACCAAGCGATACAACCCGTTCAGATACAAATTGATTCAGTCGAGGTGTACTACCAATATTTCGCGACATATGTTTTTCTTGTTCACGCGCTATAACTATACATCAGGTAATCGCAATATTATTTTTTTCACAGCTTAAGTTCGTATCGAAACGACTCGTTTCCTTTACAGTTACAATTGATCAGATTACATTCTTGCTGTCACGCCAAATGTGTCATGTTCATTACGCTTTGTGTCCGTCCTCTTTCGCTTACACATAGCAATACCAAATCACAAAACCAGGGCTTGCAAGCTTCATGATGATTTAGTGGAATCAAATATTACTGTGCTAGGTCTTGCGAGAATGAATGTATGTATAGTTGGCAAGTAAAATTTAGTAATGAAATTATATATTATAGACATTCAACTTATTATATTGACTCTCAGTTAAGCCTAAAATGGTTATTTTTCTGCCTGGGAATTAGTAAAAAGTTTCAGGAACATGATATTTTGACATTTAGTTAGTTTAACAATCAGGACCTTATACTGTACATACATTGCACACATGTACAGCAGGTTAAATAAATTGGGCTTTGGGAATTGAGCAATAGTAAGCTATTGTTTGGTGGTCGCTCAGGGAAATCATTGCATTGTTTGGTATGCCCAAATGCCCAATAGCCAACCTTTACTGAATCAGCTATATACAGCGTAGCTTCTGGAGAAGCGACAACCACAAGCTATGAATGACATCCAGTATTTTCATTGATTACGTTCTAAGACAAAATCTTGTAATAATCTCCTGTCCATACAACAAATATGCAGTGACTTTTTAACCTCTGCATCCTGTATCCCTGATGCATAAAAGTTCCCAAAGATGCAAAATAATAATATTCATGGCATGCATTCCGAAGGATGCAAAGATCAATAAAAAATCTGAACATGTGTATTTGTAGAAATATCCCGCTAATCTATTCTGTGGCAGTTATTTTGGCTGTTGTTGAAGGATGCATCTTTCTTTTAGCCTTTAGAAGGACTATATTTTAATTTCAGTGTACTGCAGTAATACAGAGTTTTGGGGTCTGTCAAGCTAATAAGTCAGATTAACTGTCTGGTTACACAAAGGCCCAAGCAGTTTCAAACTTGTATATTTTTTTATCTGGGACTCATTGTTTCTGGACTGGGACTCAATATTTTTCACAACATGAGTCCCAGGACTCACCATAAAACTATTTTTAACCAAAATCACTGAATATATAGTCACAGCTCCAACTTTTCCAACTTTTCCATTGAAAAGCAAATGCCACCGAAGCATTTTGTTGCACCATTCTTGTACTAAACTCTTTGAAAATATACAAGTAATGTCCTTTTCTGACAATCCCAAAGAATTGTTGTTTATTTAAGCTACGTAGATATCCCAGCCAGTTTCTTTAAATAGCCTGCTACACTACATCTAGGATTGAACCCTGTTTTATGGACAGCCGCTTTATACAAGCCCCTTGTCATAATAAAAAGTTTTCTTAGGACCTACATCTGTATGATAATTAATCCTCACTTTTTTCTCTAAATTCAAATAATTTTATACAGCATGTCAATGTACACAGATTGTTTAGTTTAATGATGCTAGTGTCCTGTTTTACTTCTCTATAGCAGCAGCTTTTTATTTTTTTATTTTTTTATGGTCCCCTTAGTGTCTGTATTAATAGAGTTTCACTGTTTCATTAAAAGTAATATGTGTCAAACAGTCATGCAGACTTCATGTGAAAGTAGGACAGTGTCATGAAAATTAATAACAAAAACAGTGTGATGTACAAGAACTCTGTCAATACAGTGCAGATTATATTTTGTACCCTAACCCTCATTACTGAATTAATGGTGGAGGAAAATTGCCGGTCCCAACAACAGTACAACTTAATGATTGTTGGATCAGGCAGCTACAAGGAATGTTATCTTTCGCTTAGTTTTGCCAATTACAGTACCTGTTATTATGAAACATTACCTCTAGGCAATATTAAATCAAGCTTCATGTAGAGCAAACAAAAATAATTATATCTTTCCACCATTCTTATTTATTTCAGTTATACCAGTGCAGTCTATTCTATGTTTTTGTTAATTCGGTCTATCTGTTTCCACATCTGTGGCTGTTGTTTCCTTGAATGATCCTTTAGTGTTTTAGCCAGTTATTACTGTACCAACAACTTCTGACCTTTGTTTTGTTGAAATGAATTTGGCTACAGTAATAGTTGTATTATAGTAGGAAAGAAGAAAATAAACTATATTTTCCATGAGAAAACTTTTTTGAACCTTGGGGATTTGATTGGACAATTTTAGAATACACTTTTCTAGTAATGTTTTAATTTTTAACAAACAATCGTTTTTAACTGGGTCAATATGGTGAGTTTTAGTTTTAAAGAAAATTCCCAAGAAATACATGTAGGTGGTTTAGACAACTCCGGATATATTAAGTGATTTCATTTTTAAAGGGTTTTTCAGCTGGCTTTTAATGGTGTTTTTTTTAAATTTGCTTTTATTTTAAAGTTTTGTTACAAAGAAAATGCATAAATTTTTATGTTATTTTTGATTATATTTAAACCACCATTGAAAACAGGTTAAAACACCATTAAGAGTATGTTTTAACACCATTAAAAGCAGGTTAAAACATCTTTAAAAACAGGTTAAAACAACATTCAAAACAGGTTAAAACGCCTTTAAAAACAGGTTAAAACACCATTGAAAGGAGGTTAAAACACCTTAAAAACAGGTTAAAACACAATTCAAAACAGGTTAAAACACCTTTAAAAACAGGTTAAAACACCATTCAAAACAGGTTAAAACACCTTTAAAAACAGGTTAAAACACCATTCAAAGCAGGTTAAAGCACCTTTTAAAACAGCTTAAAACACCCTTAAAAGCAAGTTAAAACACCTTTAAAACAGGTTAAAATACCATTCAAAACAGGTCAAAACACCGTTAAAAACAGGTTAAAACACCATTCAAAACAGGTTAAAACACCTTTAAAAGCAGGTTAAAACAACATTCAAAACAGGTTAAAACACTATTAAAAACAGGTTAAAACACCATTAAAAGCGGGTTAAAACACCTTTAAAAACAGGTTAAAACACCATTAAAAGCAGGTTAAAACACCATTCAAAACGGGTTGAAACACCATTCAAAACAGGCTAAAACACCATTTAAAACAGGTTAAAACACCATTAAAAATAGAATTTGGTTCCTGTTTTAAATGAAGTTCTCAAATACAATTAAAAGAGTTTTAAAAATGTAATAAAAATATGTTTCAAATAGTGTTTGGTTTGGTACAGGTTATCTTTTCGGGTTTCTGAAAACGTACCGAATGAAAATTGCAGTCTTTTGACTGAGAAAAAGACCAAAAGCCGAAGGCAAAATGAGCCCAAAAATCCCCCTAGAAAACAACAAAGGCAGGAAAAATAGAGCGAGGAGAAAGAGAAAAAAAAGTAATGGCTGCACTCTTAGTTTTTATGTTGACTTCCTTGGAGACAGTTTTTGAAAGAGAAAACTGTTTGACGGGAGAGCTCTATTTTGGCTGTAACTTTCTTTAAAAATTCAACTAGATATATCATATTTCTTACTCTTGCAGCTAACAGAAATCTGATAAAAAAAATAATATATATACATTTAAAACCAATGATTAAGTAACGGCCATCATTTTTTAGATTTAAAGTCTTACGACTAAATTTGTTGTAGTTTTACAGCCAACAGTTCACTCTATTGCTCTGTAAGCCTCCTGTTATTTTGGGGTTTCTTGAGTGGAGCAAGGGCTTCCTGTGCAAAAGCCAACCGTGTTAAAGTTTTATCCTTTTTTTAAAAAAAGAAACGCTTCGTTTTTATCACCGAAAACTAGGTAGCAGTTATTCTTTCTTCTCTCACTTTTCCATAAAAGTAACAAACACATTTTGTGCATTTTTTGTTTTAACGTATAATTTCACAACATAGGCACGTTAAACGTGCATGAGCTATTTTGAATGCTTCAGTGTAACTTTAATGCCTCGGTGCAACCTTACTAAGAGTGATGAATCTACCTTTTTCATCCTAAATGTAGATTGGGTTTTTGTGCGAAATTGGGTATTGCGGTAGATAAATGAATACGCGAAACGCTCAGCTAAGTCGATCCTCCTATATATTCACTATCTTCTGTCTTTCCCTGTTACATCTGGTGCAAGTTAAACAAATCGTTAAAGTAAATAAATTTCTACTCACAAAACGTTGATTAGAAGGAAAACTCCACGGTTTCCTCGGAGTTTCTTAAGCCAAAATGTGACCTATCGAATACTGAATAGTTACGAAATACCAGGATTTTTATCATTGTGGTAGATGGTTGCATCATCATAATTCACGAGGTTTTCACTTTCGATTCTACTCAGTGAAACAGTCTTGAACTCCGACAACTTATTTCTTCATGTTTTAAATTGAAGCTATTGCTTGTTAAAAGACAAGAGCCTCCTTTAAGGCATTGGTTACAAAACGAAACAGGTCTTCATACGTCCAAGTTACTATTTATCATTGTGAAAAGCCAATCTGCATGAGATGTACTGTCACGCAACTGGCACGTGAAAGTGTTGGACTTTGCCCCTTTCGTGGTTCGTACGTGAGGGAATTCGAGTTATCACACAGTAAACTAGTAAACAGAATTAATAAAATAACTCATGCACACAATTTGCACGTGAAGATGTTGGTCTCTCGCCCTTTTACAATTCCTACGTAAAAAAAAGGCAAATTGTTTGCCACAAAGTTTTCTCGAACGATTTTAAGAAATCACCTCGGCTTCATTACAACATCTGCAATTAAATTATGTTTCATGCAACATCAAGGTTGATAACCTAACATTTATTAACATTTGTGAAACAGTCTTTAACTCCGACAACTTATTTCTTCATGTTTTAAAAGCTATTGCTGCTTAAAAGACAAGAGCCTTTTTTAAAGCTTTGGTTACTAAACGAAACAGGTCTTCATACGTCCAAGTTACTATTATTATAATTGTCAAAAGTCAATCTGCAGGAGATGTACTGTCACCCAGCTGGCACGTGAAAGTGTTGGACTTTGCCCCCTTTCGTGGTTCGTACGTGAAGGAATTCGAGTTATCACACAGTAATCTAGTAAACAGAATTATAAAAATAACTCATGCACACAATTTGCATGTGAAGATGTTGGTCTTTGGCCCTTTTACAATTCGTAGGTAAAAAAAAAGGCAAATTGTTTTACTACAAAATTTTCTCAAACGATTTTAAGAAATCACCTCCGCTTTATTACAACATCTGCAATTAAATTATGTTTCATGCAACGTCAAGGTTGATAGCCTAACATTTATTAACTTCCAAGAAAATTATCAAATCGCCGAACTATATTTCTACTTATATAATGTTACTCCACTCAATGCAACAGTATCTAATTATTGTGTCAACTAGCTTCTTCCAATTTTATTCCCTAACGCTACTGTTTCTACTTAAGTTACGCATCTTTTCTAAATAGATCGAAAAAGGTCGGTTGAACTTTGTAAGCGAGAGAATAATAATTCTAAAGCTTGTTTACAGGATTAACAATACTCGATACAGCTTTCAAAAAAAATAAGCTGCCTTTTAAACTTCTAAAACCACATTTTATAGGGCGCATACTTTCGAATTAAAGTCTATATCTAAATATCAATTATTGCTTCATTGGAAGAGCTTTGAAAATATATGATCTTTTATACTCTACCCAGTTGTAGCAGGTGAAACAGAACTCATACTGACATGCGTTGCACCGATAGCCGAATTAGGTCAGAAATGCCTTGAGGCAGCATCCACACTAAAATATGAACCCTTAAACAGCTGCATCACTGTACACAGCGTTTGAATCATGAAGATATTTAATGTAATTCTTCCAAACACCTGTACCCGTAATAAAAGACGAAAATTTGCGAAGGACCAAGATGGCGGTCTCAAAGTGCCCTTGTTCGACCTTTACCAAGGCCATGTTTAAATAGATGCCAAGATGTCACTGGTTCCTAAGCATCAACTCAAAGTACCTTCAACCTCATTGGCTCTTGCAACAAACATCCCAACATACAAAGATACAAAGCCACAAAGATACAAAGCCACAAAGATACATACGCTCACACCACTGACATGTGAGCTATTTTTTCAAAATAGCTCAATAACGTAGATACCCTGTGCTTAAAGCTCAAAATGTTTAACGCTTAATTTTGACATGTCCCACCGATCGGATTTTGGCGGATTTTTAGTATGTTACTAGATTACTCAAATGGCGTTGAAAACAATTCCGTTGCAATTGGTTTGATGTTGAGCCCCGAAAATGCCTAGATTGACTTGACTAGGTAGCATTAGGGTAGTTTTATCGTATTCTTAATACATGTAGCTAACCAGTATTTCACTGTTGAGAGGCAACTTACCAACACTGGCATTTGCTGAATCACTGCCCTCACTATTTGTAGCTGTGCAAGTATAGACAGCATCATTCAATACCTCAGGAATAGTTAAGGTAGCAGTATTGCAGTCGTTATTGCATGGACTCCATGTTAATGTTGGTTCAGAAAATCCTTCAGCTTGACAATGAAGAGTAACACTCTGCTGCACCGCAACTTTGTACTCTTGTACAAAATTAATAATCTTGGCAGGAACTAAAATAACAACCAGTTAAACATCAACAGCTGTTCATCTTTATTTTGGAATATAAACTCAACTCTTTCTTATCAGACACTTCTCTAAGACGGACAACTGGGGTTGGGCCCTGTCGTTTTTCAGTCATTTTACTGTAATCATACTCTCTGTAAGACGGACACATCTCTCTATGACGGACAATGGACACTTTTGAAACCGTTAGAAGACAATTGGGAAGTGCTTCATGTAGTGAAAAATACAATGTATCCCAAAACGGAAATGCAGGTGCTCTAGGTAGCAGTAAATTGCAAAATGTTAAATATTTTGTAGTCTTGCCTCAGTTCGCAGAGTGAATGTTAGAAAGGGTGCCCAATGCAGATATGCCTCAGAAGTAAGTTATGCAGGACGTATTTTAAAAAAAAATTCACCGACCACTCATTTGGGGGTGTGTGTGTGTGTGTGTGTGTGTGTTTGCTCTTTTTAAAGAGTCGTTACAGGCAAAAAAACCTTTAAATTTGTTACAAAAAAAATGCATTTATAAGACATTGCATTTAATTATTTGGTTAAAATCAGCATTTCGATCGTTGCCTAATAACATGGATGATTAAGAGCGAATGTACACAAAATCGAACAAAATCAGCAAATCGTGGCCACAGCTCAAGACGTAATCTACCCTCACTTTCAGTTTATAATCAGGAGTTTCAATTTGAAAGTAAGTGCTGGCGTAAGCGCTTATGAGAATACAGTTTCAAAATAAAAAAAAAGTGAAGAAAACGACCCCTGGAAATTAAGGTGAGTGAGCATTAAAAGGAGAAAGCCCTGAGGGTAAATTTGCAGAGTGCAAGGAGATAATAAACGAGGCCTGGGCTTTTTGGTAATTGTTTATGTATATTTTCTAGATTTCTTTATTTGCTTAATGAAATTCAACCAAAAGAAGAGGCCGTTCAGTGGGTTATTTTTGTTCTTTTAGATTGGAGCATGGCGTCTGCGAGCGAACCTGAGTCTACAATCCGTAACATTAGAACTCGGGTAAATTGAAGGAATAACGTTGACATGTTGTACTCGACCTCCTGACTGTATGGTCTAGTTTTTTAATTTTTCATAATGCTAAAGGTTATCGTATGTGGGAAAGTTTAACCAACGGTTAACCATTTAGCGGAATAAAACCAGTTAGATGACTTCATTTTTATCGGACGGTCAACCACGATATATTTTTTTCCCAGAACGAGAAATGCCTTTTCGTAGAGAGATATTCTTGGAAGAAATATTTCGACATATGTGAGTGGGGCGCTGGTATATGGCGAACCCAACCACCTAAAACGCAGAAGTTCTTTAAATATGATGAGATTTTTGCGGCAGAACTGCAATTCCTTATACTGGCAACAACATGACATCACGTGGCTGGAGAAGACGTGCGATATCATTTGCACGGTTTCAATTTTAAGGAACATTTCTAAGGATGTGCGTAAAGCAAGCGGTGAGCCGAATGAAAAATTGTCTGTAAAATGGCGAATATCATTAAAAAATGCGACATTGTAGAAGCACAAACACGCCAGATCTGTGTATCTCATAATAAACAGTCTTGAGAATCGTAACAAAAGGGCCTACAAAGCCCGGGCCAGAGTTTTGAAAGGACATTTTGAAGCTTTCGAGCAGCAACCTGTCGTGGCGGAAGGGACTTTCGCCTACTACAATAGCCGAACGCAGCTTGTAAAAACATGTCAACTCCCCAAACTCAATTTAACCATGACTTCGCGTTACTACGTAGCTTTGACAACCAGCAACAAGGTCTAGGCAGGGCTTTTAATAAGCTCAGGTGATCTCCTTGACAACAATGAAACCAACATGATGCGTGTACCATGAAACTTTTTAAAGTTTTATTTTTCGCTATGAGAGATGGAAAAAAAGGTCAATGTACCGCATCACGGACTTGCTTTGCTGAACGTGTACTTAGAATCTACAACAGCCTTTTTTGAATCGGTAAAAAGGATTTGTACCAAACAAATTTACCAAAACAGAAAAGAAAAACTCGGCACAGACTGTCACGTGACCTCTTTATGACGGTTAACCAGATGGTTAACCGTTCTATTGCTGACTGTTATCGTATGTGGCAAAGTTAAGCAACGGTTAACCACTTAGCGGAATTAAAAGAGTCATATCACTTCATTTCTATACGACGGTCAACCACGACAGATTTTTTTCCCAGTCCTCAACTGAATTAAGGAGCCGAGGGAATAGCACTCACAAACCAAAGACCGTGAGGTAAAGTACACATAACACAAGCTAAAACTGAATACAAAGCAAAACATAGCGTGCGAACATGAGGAGAGCCGAAGGGAAAATCCCTGCACAAACGCGATGTTTGTGAGGCAAAGCACGCAACACAATAAAGCAAAACACAAGCGTGCAACAAACTTTACGGAAGTCGAGGGAATAGCACTTCACAAACCCGGTGCTTGTGAGGCAAAGCAAGGAAAACAAAAATTACCTAAAATCTTTACGGGGGCCGAAGGAAAAGCACTGCACAAACCCGATGTTTGTGAAGCAAAACATACAAAACATAAATTATTGAATAAAGCAAAACACAAGCGTGTAACAAACTTCACAGGAGTCGAGGGAATAGCACTGCACAAACCCGGTGTTTGTGAGGCAAACACGCAAAACAAAGTTACGGACTAAAACACGACAAAAGCGTGTAACAAACTTTACCGGGGCTGAGGGAAAAGCACTGCATTAACCCGGTGTTTGTGAGGCGAAGCACAAAAAAGACCTCGGAATAAAGCAAAACATAAAGCGTGCAACAAAACTTTACGGACGGCCGAGGGAAAAGCACTGCACAAACCCGCATAACACGGACACAAATAACACCGCTAACGGATAAAACAAAGGTAAAATATTAGCGTGTAAAGGCCGGCAGCCGAGGAAAGGGCATAACACAAACTGGGAACATAGCGGCAAAAGACATTCGAGGTTAAGTTCATCTGCACTGGCGCTTGGGTAGATTGGAGCAGGGCTGGAGCCTTTGTAACATTGGTCGGGAAGGGACCGGTTCGTCAGCCATCTTGAACAAGAACCGAATAACAGAGCGAATGGATTCTTACGCGAATTGCATGGGCCGAAATAAGATGCGCAGCCTTTAAATTTACATTTGCGTTGCAAGGGACTGGTTCGAATGGCTAAGAAAGCCATCGGACATCGAATCAGACATCGAAGCCTCCATTGCACAAGCTAACTTACATCACCCAACTATTAAATTCACGGCCGAAACATCTGACACTGAGACTGTATTTTTAGATACGGTTGTATACAAAGGCACAAGATTCAAGGAAAAATCTATCCTTGATGCAAAGACACATTTAAAAAAACGGAAACCTTCCGGCATACACAAGGAACCGAATAACAGAGCGAATGGATTCTTACGCGAACTTCATGGGCCGAAATAGGATGCGCAGCCTTTAAATTTATATTTGCGTTGCAAGGGACTGGTGCGAATGGCTAAGAAAGAGTTGTACAAGGCAAAATTGAGATTATTATTCATTCGAAATATTTCTGTTTCTGATTGGCTAAAATCCCAGGCATAATTAATCATAACCAGCTCCTTAAGACCAAATTTGGAAGAATATGTGAAAAATGAGATCAATTGTGCAGCATAATCGCAGAAAACTGAACAGTTGACCGTGAAGACCTGGGGAAGAGGTTGAGTTGTTTTGGTTGTAAGTACAAAATGGCGGAACATTTCACTCGTTTCACGAGGAAGAAATAGGCGAACTATTGGCTGAAAATACAACAAAAAATGCAAGAAGACAACTCGACGGACGACATCTGCTATTCAGAATATTTGCAGAACTGAACAACCCTTAATCTCCTAACCTTGCCAATAAACATGCACTATCGAAGATGAACTTAACATCGGTGGAGGTAAGCATGTTTTAGTTTGTTTTTAAACTAGGAATTATTTTGAACGAATAATTAAACCATTATTGAATTCGACTTTCGTATCGTCCGGAAGAATTAAGGAGATATCGGAGGGTGTTATCCGGATAACACCCTCCACGGTCTCCATAATTCTTCAGATGATACTCAGCCTCACCCAATAATTATTAAGTATTAGACACTGTATTCACGTAAATACAGAACCATTTCTCACTCCATCGCAGAAACTATTATCTTTTGCACAATAGTGTAGCGCAAATTTCGTTATATTTTAATGAGCAGATTTTAAGATATTCTCGTTTGTTTTACATTGCCGGTGGCCCGATTGACTACCCCGGGCAATGGAAGTGTACAAAACAAACGCTCTAAGGAACTGGTCAAAAAGGAAGGGGGAAAGGGGGTGGGCCGGAGCATGTGGAAATGTGGTTGATAAAAAACACATGACCCACCCCTCCCTTCGGCACAAAAATGACAGACCCACCCATACACCAAGGTTAGAAATTACATGACCCACCCCCTAGTATTAAAACATGGATTTTTGGTTTCCTCTTAATAATCCAATAAACCCTTGTTCTGTGCATGACAAAATTTCTTGATACGTTGCTACAACCAATACCAAAATCACAGAAATCATACCTTTCATTGAAAAGACAAATGTGAAAAACCGAACCTTTCTTGTCTCGATGAACGTTATGAGTCTTGACACAAACATACCGCAAAACGAGGGTATTAAAATTATCTTTAAAGCATATGAAAAACCTATTCGTACACATTACTTGCCGGAAATGCTCAGATTAATCCTTAAAGAAAATTTCTTCCACTTCAGTGGAAAGCACTACCTACAAACCCATGGAACTGCAATGGGCACAAAGACAGCAGTTTCGATTCCTTTGCCAACATTTTCGTGGCATATATTGAAACAACAACGCTAAGCAAAACCGTCTTTAAACCAACAGTTTGGAAATGCTACATAGACGATATTTTTCCCTATGGGACATAAGTAAATCAGACATCGAAGCCTCCACTGCGCAAGCAAACTTACATCACCCAACTATTAAATTCACGGCCGAAACATCTGACACTGA